ACACAGAGAGGCCTTAGTTATTATTCAAAAGATCAATTATCCTACTCTCTCTTCTTAGACATACTTGCTCAATGTGATCGCAGCTTTATGACTTTTACCTCCCAGGTTTCCTACCACTCTCATGTGAAAGGGCAAGTCTCAGCTTATCCACAAGAACATTTTTCAGCACAGAGCAAAGCAGGTCTGGGAACCGCAAATGCAGCCCACAAGGGAAGAGTTATTCCACGCACATATTCATAGCCCCATCTCTCCATCCCTCCTGTTCACATCACCTCAATAAGTCACCGTTGCATTCTGCTTCCCAGGACCTGCCCATGTTCAGACTCATCCTATGTACCTGCGGGGGAGTTTGAAATTGTTTTTCACTTGGTGAAAGAGGGCTGACCTACCTTACACGTGCAGCAGGGCAAGGTCTTGCAACTTATGGAGAAAGTGGATGGGCTTGAGACTTCTAGGAACACAACAGTCACCTAATTATTTGTGTCTAAAGTGCCCTGACAAGCCTGACTTGGCTCGATATTTAACTTTGATGGTTTTTGCTCATGCATAAGGGAACCAGATTGAAGGAAAGAATAATGTTCTGTATTAGCACAGAGCCAGAATCTGGGGGCGGAAGGCTGTGCACTTCCTATTTTTATGGGCGGGACTTATACAGCCACAGGTCAGATTCTGGCTAAGGCGATTAGACTTTCCTCAACCAAAGCTGCAGGACCGAGTTCATCAGTTTAACTCACATTAAGAAAATAAATCAATATATATTTCTGCAAATGTCTCTTCTCTTTGACTTTTTTTCTTTGACTATTTTTGGTATGAAGCATTCCAGATTTCTCTTCTGCCTTCTAACTGAGGGCTCCTGCAGCTGGTACAGGAATGGATACTTCCAGTTATAAGTTCTTTCAAAATACTTTTCGTTTCATGTTCAGTTCCTGTACTAATTAGCCCTGCTGTGACTTTGTTGGTTACTGTGCTGCTACACTGTTATTATTCCTTTGTTTTCCCATTCTGCAGCTTTGGGGACAGACTGTGAGACAGCCTTGACTAAAGGGAACGATGAGGGTGATGAACCACTCCACTGAAGTGGGAATCCCACAAGCTGTTCTGATACAAGGATCCTCCAGAGAATCTGTTCCTGTTCCTTTCTGGACAGTGACAGCTCTGGGTAGAGAGTAATTAGGACTTCTGCTCTGCCCTTACTATCTCCAATAGAAAATACTAATGCTGCATGCATTTTGATTCATGGTACCACCAGTTCTCTTCTGCAAACTGGCACTCAGGGAGCAGCAGAATTTCAGAGCCTAAACTGTAGTTAGATGTCTGAATATCTGATGAATTCTCACACTGGTCTCTAATAATGGCTCAGGGTTTAGAAAATGCTTAGATACTTAGATATGTTTAGATACTGAGAGTTTAAGGGTCTGTGCTGTCCTGGATATCTGTTCACAGAACTGCTCGTGTAATAACTTGAACATTTGCATGCTGCACTGTAAAACTGTGAATGCAATTTCCTAAGCAAATTTCTAGGTCTTAAACCATTATTTTTCATCAGTAGTAAAGGTGCTTATCTCAGGGATCTTCCCTCACCTACCACCTGAAAGAAATACAACACAACAGATAATATACGCAATAGATACCTTCATGGGATTGTCTTTTTGAACACAGAGAATATTGGAAACATAAGACTATCACATTTTGGTGACAGTTCCAGCACACTCGTTTTCTAAATGGTATTAAAAAAAGCTGCAGAGGATGTAGAGGAGAGCCACAGAAACAATTTGAAGGCTAGAGAAAATGCCTTACTGCAAATAATTTGAAGAGAGAGATCTGTTTAGCTTATCAAAAAGGAGATTGTTCCGTACCTAGATTATGGTGTTCAAGCACTTTCACAGGCAGAAAACTAACCTCACAGGTTAGTGAGGGACTACTTAATCTAGGGAAGAAAAGCATACCAAGAACAAATAGCTGAAAGATAAATCTAGACAAATTCAAATGAAAAAATGTTTCTAATAGAGTGATTGAGTACTACAATAAACGACCAGAGAAGGGGCTAAGTCCTTACTTCTTAATATCTGTAAATTAAGCTCGCATTTCTCTGCAGAAGATATACTTTAGTCAAAAACACAAATTGTGCTTCTGTCAGACTCAAGTTACGGGGTTTCACCCTGAAGTAACAGGAAAATTTATGACCTGGGATCTAGATGAGGTCAGAAAAGACAATCTCATGTTCTTTTTAAGTTTTATCCTCTATGAATCTATCAGTTTACTGACTGAATAGAGAAAAGGAAACTTTCTGAATGACATTTGCCATCTGGACAAAAATGTGATTCACAGCAGAGCTGTAAATCACTCAGTAATCAGTATATGCCATAAACTACTGAGATGAATACAGTCTTGCAAAGTCTTCTAATTTAGAACTTCAAAATTATTTAATATATTACACATTAATTTTATACTAGGTAATTGGATTAATGCAAAAGGGTTAAACAGATATGTTAATGAAACACTGTGCCATGTACTTAGCTTAATGTTGCTGGAAAATCAATGCACTTTGGTCTGTCAGTTAGCAATCTCACATTTAATTGAATAACATGTCAAGTACTTTAAACTGTGTACCAATGTAAATAGAATCCAGCACTGTAGCAATGGTAATAAGTTAAGAAGCTTTTCCTGAATTCCAAGTGGATTTGAACATGACCTTCATTTTCAGTTCTCAGCATGCTCAGATACTGATCAAACAGCTATTATTATTTCTACAGAGCTTGGTGATGACCCCTATTATTCAATTCTAAAATTGCTATTGATTCACTCTCTAAAAGATTAGGTAATGGATAATCAGTCTGATGTTTCTAGCAATGGTTTCTTCTTCCCTGTGCATTTACATTCCCTTCCACTTCATTATCGTTACTGGGAGGAGGACTCAATCATACAGCAACCTTTTACTCAGCCTATGAGCCTATCACACAGATGGTGGAGGGCAGTTGGCGCAGGAGTGCAAAGGTTATGAGAGGAAAAGCAGGAGGAACTCCTTCTCAACACTTTTCAGGTCAGTTCCAAGCACAGCTGTACAACAGCTTCTTACTCTTTTCCTCCTCCCTTTCACTAGTCCTGGGCACTGCCTTCCCAACATGAGGTATGAAAGGAGCAAGGAGGGCCCAGGACCCTGTCCAAGTTGAAGGACCTCATCATTGCCAAGCCAGCACCTGGTGAAAGCCATGCTTTTGTGGAGCCAATTTTCTTCGACAAGATTCAGATTTCTGCAACGTGGACAGCTTCCAGTTGTTTATGCTTGTTTATGCTCCCTTAACAGTCAATATAAACAAATAAGTTTTCCTATTGTACCATTCTTCTCATCCTAAAATAGATGTTCAGAAGTTATCAGTTATCAGATAGTTGCAACTATCTATGTCATCCCAATAGCTATAAAGGTTCTGAGGGTAAGCAGCTCAGATGGAAACATCTACACTGTAGACATCTGAAGTTACGAGAAATTAATCCTGCCCTGTCAGTCTCCAAGCTCTCCTCAGCAAGCTGCAGATGAATGTTGCCCCTAGTGTAGCCAGCACCTACTAGGCAAAACCAAGTCTCTGTTTTAGTAGACCGACCATTTGAGCAATTCAAAATTACTCTTCTGTTTCTAACCACCAGCTGTCTTGCTTACAAAATGTTCTAGTATATTCTTGATTATAATTTAGTCTGTTATATTAACATAGCATACCTGCATCTGAAGTGTTTTAGAAACCCACTGTGCAGGGCACTGTACAAACTTACAACAGCAGGACAATTCCTGCACCAAACTGTTGCCCGTCTAAGGAGGAGAAAACATGAGAAACGAGGCAGAATGATGTGGAAGCATACAGATAACAATAAGGCAACACTACTGATTCAGCACAGCAGCTAGTTGTCTGAGCACACTGCTGACCCAGCTATTGCCCATATTTGGGGCAGCATCATGGCAAAGGAGAGTTTTAAAGAAGCAAAGGAAAAAGACAGATTGCTTGGTAGAGATCTGTTGAGGGCATCATGGCAAAAAAGCATGAATGGGTTAATCTGAACATTCTGCGTATGGATAATGGAAGCTAGCACTAGAAGCTGAGGGCATGGGGGAATCATCTTCTGTGCACTGATTAAGGGGCTGAGGAGACTGGCAAAGATCTTGAAGTTGAAGAAAAGAAATCTATAGTTGATGTAACAGAAAAGAGGAAATTGAACCACAGATTCATTCCTTCTCTATTTTTTGTGTGGTTCTCCTCAGCCTCAGATAACAGATTTTTTTTTGCACTATGTATTCTAAAACAGGATGCAGCATTGTAGTAATAACATAAAACACAACTATAGCTTGCTTATACATATTACAAATGTATACAGTTCATTAAAATGACTACACACTATTAATTCTACAAAGTTAAGCATTCAAATAAGAATGTCCGTATCAAAGCTATATGTATGACCTTGATTGACTATGGAGTGATCACTCCACACTATATTCAAATAATACATACAATATATAGCTTTTTCTTAGATCATTAGATGTAGAAAATATATGTAGAATCTGTAAAGTTCTGCTTTTTCTTTATAGCTACATAGTGCATTTTCCCTCCATGGCTTAGTCCAGCATATACTTAGCAATTTAGAAATATATACTTTTTATCTAAGAAAAACATATATTAAAAATTGTGAAATACTTAGGCATTATAATTATCCTATTCAACAACAACTACTTAGGTGTAATGCAAAGGATAAAGCAGTTAACAATGAAGCTAAATTAGCTGCGCAAACGTGCGATACAGCCTTCCTTAGGTGTAATCTGGGGCTGAAGCAGTTAACTACACAATCTACTTAGCGACAACCTGAGGTTGGCTTAAATATCAGTCTTTTTTCAGTCTTAGACTTTGTTGTTTTTTTCACTACTACTTTTTATTATAATATTTCATGTGTAGCAAAACGTAGAAGCACAGTACACATCATTTTCCACTCTAGTTCTGTGGACTGGTTTTATGATATACCAGATATTATGAGGTGAATATGTTTTCTTTGGTCAAAGACAGCTTCAGAACCTTCTGCCTTCAAGCTACCATTCAACACTTCCTTTCCATTCTTCCTTTTTTTTAAATACATGTCATTTCAGTGATCCAGTCTACACGGTCGTACTCCCCTGGCAAAGGAAGAAAAAAATCTCTTAAGCCTACTGCCACAGAAAACACCTTTAGGAAATTTATAACCCCACATATTTGTGAAGTACTGTATAAAATCCTGTAGAATTAAGAAACAGTACATATTCCTAACATTAGAGACCTTTCTCCATATTACATATCCACAAAAGAGAAGAATTAAGGCCTCACAGGCAATTCCGAGAGTAAACCATGCACCTACATATAGATGTAATAACTTTGGAGTCACATCCTTGCATATAAGCATAGTGGCCAGACTTTCACTACTGCAGAGGCCCAGAATTACTGTGTGTGGCCAGACTTTCACTACTGCAGAGGCCGAGAATTACTGTGTGTCAGCCCTGTTGTCTTCCTTGTACACGAAGCCTAGTGAAGGGACTAACTCCTACTCAGAGCTTGGTTTCTCTTCCCCTGTGCTGCCGTTCCCCTGTGCTGCTGTTGCTGTTTAACGTTTAGTTATGGTAACTAGAAAATTACCTCTTGAAGCCACATGCAGGCTACTTGCTAGCTGGATCCTTAAGTTCTTCTCAGTTATAGGTTTTTAAAAATAAACACTAAAATTTAAAAGATCTATCTTCCTAGATGTTTGAAATATAATAGTAGCGCATGTACAGTTCAGCCTTAAGTTCTCCGATACAAATCCCACTAAAAATCATCTCCTTCATGCTTCAGAAACTCCCCATGATACTGCACATTCAAGAGACTGAATGATGTAGAAGCAGCATAAATTCAAGGCTGCCTCCTGTGCCATTCAACTAGTTTAACAAGAAAATCCAAGGAAATAAATGCTTCATTGCTATGTTGAAGGATCCATTTATAGCAAATGTAAACAAACTTTTTTCACTGATGGTTATTACTTCAAAATGTTCAGTTTTCCTATCCTAGTCACACTGGTTATAATGCTATTCAAATAAACAATAAAACGTATAGGGAGATTCAGCAACATTTACTTCATAGGAGAAGCACAGAAAAGTGACCAAGTCATTAAAATTCTATTTTGTGAAATCTTTTTGATCAAAATCTTAGTTGCAATATTAGTCACGACTGACAAAAAGTAAGGTGTAAAAGCACAGAAGCCAACCATGCTGGAACCCTCCCTCCTGCCATTTTTAGTACGTTGCCTAATTGGTATTATTATAAGATTACTAACGTCCATTTCTTTCGCTTTTGAACTAAATCTTTCTGCTGTGCACTTTCATACATTGCTCTTAAGTGTCTTTCTGCATCATGCAGTTTAGTCTACCACTGTTTGTAATATTTGTTTCAGGAAAAAATACACTGCTTTGCATTTTTCTACAGTGATAATCTACAATTTATCTGCTTGAATTTGGCCCAGTTTTCTAGACTCTCCAATGCCTTAGATTTTGCTTTATCCTCTACTCTCTAAAATCCCTGTTAGTGCATCAGTGGAAGGTTTGATAAGTATAAGATTCAGCTCATATTGCAGGTCATTTATAAAGATGTCAGATAGCACTAATCCTAAGTAGCTATGCTCTGAAATGGTTCCTAGGCTTGCTGTCTTAGGAATGGTTGATTTCTGCACAAAACAGAAGGCTTTACAGCGGTTGAAGTGAAAGGAAAACAGAAAGACTGAAAGTAATTTTTTGTCCATTACTGCCTGATTCAAGCAAAGTACATTTTTTGAGCTGAGAAATTTTATTCACGTTCTGTGTTTAGAATACTGACAATACAAAATATTTTTGACTAGCAAAGATATGCAAATCTTTTTCTCTGTATGAAGCTATTTAAAATTCAGCTTAATTTTAAAAACCTTTTTAACAGTATGAGAAATGACCAAGCATTGAAACACAAATAATAAGCAAGAGAAATTGCTAATATAAAACTCTGTTATACTAAGGATTGCACTTCCCAATTAAAATCATTTTCCCACACCTTTGAAAGGTTCCCCAATTCCACAACAAGATTACGCAGTCCAACCTAAGCTACATAAGCAATTAAAAAATGAACTAATACTTAAGTCCAGAAACCATTTTTTAAGCATTAGTAAACTAGTAAGTAGTCTAATCACAATTAATGTATAATTTCTCAGTTCAGAAGAACAAAAAGGAAATGAGCTCCCACACCATGAAGAATCTATTTCTATTGGAAATCTTAACTTCTTCCAGTCCAGGAGTAACCTGCATCCCTTAGAATTATACGTAAGTAATTCCAGGAAGGTAAAAAATGGGAAGGAAGGTAAAAAACGGGAAGGAAATAACGGAAGTATCCCATCTAATTTCAGCATGCACAGGGACTTGATTGTGCTACCAACAGTATAGACTAGTTCTTCCAGTGTTGCCTGATATGGGTAAGAACTTAGGGGCTTTCTGGATTCTGTTTCCTTTCCTACTATGCTTAGGTAATAGTGCCCCTTTGCTCAATATATGTAAGTGCTAAAAGCAAAGATAATAAATTATTATCTTATGTTACTGCTTATGCAATAGCTAGATCCCTGAGTTTATATTAAAATGGCATTACTAAAGTTACATAGCCAATCTGTACGGGAACATGAAATGTGAGAGCATCTGCTTCATTAAGGTTATCAGATCAAGGACTTTTCAGCTCAAAGGAAATCCTAAGCAACAGGGAAAGCGATAAAAAAAAACCCCCCACAGAAACACAAAACTGACAAGCAAGCTGTAACCAGTCACTAATTAATGAGTCATTAAGAAACTACAGGCATAGCTTTTGGAGATGGCCAATCTGGACTTTCTAACCGATAAGAAGAGAGAAACAAGATGAACATAAGGTTTACGAATATTTGAGGGGGACCTGTGGGACTGTGCAAAACTTCCTAAGAAATGTGTAGGGGAAGGGCTAAAGGGAGAGGAAAAGGAGGGGATTGTGCAGAAACAAGGCAGGGAAATAGAGAGGAGGGAGGATAAAAGGGGCTGGTTGCACATAACCGCTGCCAGTCAGTATGCTTCTCTGATCACCACAGTCTATCCTATCTTCTTATTAAATCCTTTCTTAACTATCTTTCCATGTAACCTCACTGTCTACCGCATGTGTGACTGCTGCAAGGTCTAGGTGCCAGCAAACGGAGAGACTAGAGTGAGTGAATCAAGTGTCAGCAACTGGAGTTGGACCTCAGGTGGTAGCAGCCCATGTGCCTGGGGCACCAGCAATTGAAGGTACCAATGTGTTTCTATTTTCCCCTAACTTGACGTGTCTGGGTGTGTATGTGTAATTAGCTGGCAAATATCAGGCTGGATAGTAGCCAGCGAGTAGGAGGCCCAGGATCCATGCATGGATATTGTGCAGACTGAGAGCCCATGTTGATAGGCGAAGGATCTGCAAAGGTGGGTATGCTTGTGGCTCTAAATAGCGAGAGCACGTATGTTTTCACTAGCGCACTTCAATCCCAATCAGCTGGAGAGGAGGAACGGGATTTGGCTATCTATACTTACGTTTTGTGTGAGTTCTGGTAGTGTTATACAAGAATGTTGTTAAAGGCAGCGTGCTATCTGTGGCGGACCGTGTAGCCAGCCATCTTAAGTGTCCTCTGTGTGTGTGCCTCTCTGGGATACACGCTCAGCCCTACTACTGCTGGCTGAACCTGCAAATAGGAAAGCAGCAGCTGCGTCTGTCTGCCTGGGGCAGAGGGACCTCTGGGTCTCCAGACGCACAGGGCTGGGCTCCAGCAGCTGAGGAGGAATCCCTAGCTCCTGGGGTCTGCAGCCTTATAACATCCCTTAACAGAATCACTCAAAAATAAGGAATTGCAGAAACTGCAGTTGTTTGTACAGTCTTAATTTGGACTGTTTTGTTCCTGTGTTTTATGATACTGTCTTTAATTACATGATCTAATTTGTTTTTTCACTTTCACGGTATAGGATGGAGGATGCTTACCTAATGAGCTGCTATATATTCGTTTTGTGTGGTTGCTAAGCCTCATTTATTGCACAACATTCAAATTTTAATCTGAGGATGAAGTGATTAATTTCCTGTGGGATCTGTCAACAGAGTACCTAGGTGCTTCACGCACTGATATGGTGTTTTCTCCATTCTACAGATGTGGGGCTGAGGTGCACAGCATCTTAGTGAAAAGCCACACCTACAGCTGAGTGCCCAAGTATGAGCAAGTCAGGAACATTAAAACAAGGAACATACTATTAGTCCCCCCATGCAAAGTCTGGTATAAATATCTTTCCGATCAGATATAGACCTAACAGAAGCTCTCCAGGGCTACATGCAGCTGCCTTAGGCATGAGACCATTTCTCCTGAACCTGCATTCCTGTGACACACTGAACCTATTTTAATTTTTTCAACCTAATGAGAAAGAGGTATAATTGTATTTCTATTACCTATACCTGAGTACCACTATAAACAATGCCTTTCAACAGGAGGCAATGTAACACAAAGATGTATTAAAATAAACAAATAACTTGCAGTATTTATATAGGATTTGTCAGTAATATCTCTCCAAGCACATGCTAGAAGAGATAAATATATTGTTCTTATTCTACTAACGAGGAAACTAGGACAGTAAGATAAGAAATGACTTGCTCTGTATCACCTATCTGGTGAATGACACAGCTGAGAGAAGAACCCCTCACTTATGAAGCATTTTTTCTTAAAAAACTCCCAAATATTTTATAACTGCGGATATTATTTATTGTATCATCTACAAACGAATACATTTAGGCATAGGAAGACTGTGAGAGAACTTGGTCCCATAATTCTGCAGTCAGTGAAATTCCACTTGATCTATAAAGTCAGAAGCAGCCCGCTTTTTAAAAAAATCTTGACTTACGCTTAATGCACTGTACAATGGAACGGTCCTGAAAATGCTATCAAATTTCTGATATAATTCCTAAGAGCATCTACATGACCCAGGTGTAAAAATATCTATTTCCATAATTTAGCAGTTTATTCAGCAAAAATACAATCCTTATATGTATTTTTGCTTCAATTTAAATATAAAAATATCCGTTTACCTCAAAAACAAACACGTATGAGATAAACAAGAAAAGTCAAGAAATAAAACTTCCAGAAAGGAACTATCAATTTACAAACATATACATTAAATAAATTAACTTCTTAAAATAGTTTTGATACATATTCATCATTCCAGCTAATGCCTTTATCCTAAAGTGATATAGACATACCAATCCCACTACAGGCTCAGGCCATACAATATATGCACGTTCTTGACCAACCAAGCACAAAAAAAAATCACATATAGTTGTATCCTGTTTATTGTCTTCTGGAGTTTGTAACAACGAAATATAATTCATTTACCTGAACATGTAGAACGTATTTTGACACTGCTCTTCCTGAACAATTGCTACTTGGCTAAGAGTTTGTATATTACATTTTAACCCTGCACATATGGACACGGGCAAGGGTTCATTTCCTGTTCCTCACAGGAAGGATATCTGTAATCCAGTAGTGAAACAGAGAAGAGACTATCTTGATATGATCTGAAATGAAGAAAACAAATTCTTCCTGAAATACCTCAATGACATTTCTGAACATTAAAGAAAAACAGTTGTGTGAACATCTGTTTCTATTTGATAAAAGCATTTCAGCAACAACAACACAGACATTGGAGGCTGGTGACTAATACATATTAATTCCTGGACAAACAGGCACAGATTTTGTAGGACGTTAGTTGTTTGTATGAGATTCACTGTTGGTCCTATATTGTGGAATGTTGTAATTTATTATGCGATAATTCTGAAAAGAGGAGATTGAAATGACACGGCCATATGGGTAAGGCTAAAAGAGGGCAATCTTCTCCATTTCTTTAGAAGCTCCAGTTGAGAACAAATCATCTTGTGCTAAATCACCTACAGACAGCTGCACAAAAGCCCCCAAATGCCAAAGCTTTTGTCTTAACTCAGAGAGTATCTATTTACCTGTATTTTTAATGATAGGAATTTCTACAGTACTCACCGTTTAATATGACATTTAAGATCATTCTAGAATGATATTCTAAGAGAGCTTTCCTCTTTAATTTTTGTTCAACGCTCATTCAAAACAGTTGTTAATTTTTACCATTTTAGGGTCTCTCTGTATGCAGCTTGGGCATTGTTGGCGTGCAGTAACTATACTACTTTCTGTGGTCCACAAAATATACTCCCCACAAAGGAGACAAATACAAAGGACAATTCTCCAAAAAAGCCAGTTAAAAGTAGCTTCTAGCTATTCTGTGAGTGATAATTTCCTAGGCAACAGGAGAGAAGAGTATACTTTATACCAGATACTCACCAACAAAGGGAAAATGTTAAGAGATGAGAAAATGAAGCTGAACAGTAGAAACGGCATGAGTTCATAAATTTGGAGATAACGACTTTTTTTTTTAATTAGGTGATCACCTATGCTTTAATAATTGATGTGAAATGAGAATTAAGTAGCCCTCATTTCAAAACTTACAGTTTCCAACCAGAAAATGGGAGCTTTACTTCCAGTAACAGCTATTTTTTTTGACCACTGCACTGGGAAGGACCATGAAGGAGTCTGACCTCCTTTCAGAAATGGCCACTTGCTTTCTGATAGAGAACAGTGAAACTCCCATCACTAGAAATGTGTGTCCAGGTGATTTCTGTACCTTCTCTTCCCCACATTTATGGAAGATTTTAGGTAGAGGTCAGTATCTGTCATTAAAGAATTCAAAATAACAGGAAATAGTAATATGAAATTTTCTTCTTTTTTGACAATCTGAGAACAAAGACACTTCATAAAAATGGTCTTTTTCAAACAAAACTTGTTGACTGACCTCAACTTTCTATGACTGATAAAGTAGAAGGGAACTATTTAGACTCTATGCAGTCTCCATTTATGAGATGGAGAATGACAAGAAGATTGGTCAGCCGGCATCTCTTAATCACAGAGATTCTTTTTCTTCTCTTTTTCAATATGCTTTCTCACTTTATAGGAAGGACTAAAGATAATATCTTAATGTTGACAATTCTTCCTTTTTCATTCTCCTTAGCACTTTCCTCTTCCTGCAAAATTTTTATGGACCCTACCACCAACCTTCTTGTAATTTTCTTTGAAACTGCTGCGTATCTTGAGATCTAAGAGGTTAAAATAAAATATGTTTGCTTTTTCTTCCTTTTCTCTTTCTTCTCTTGGCTGAACCATCATTTCAAATCTGAACAACACGTGAGAAGATATGGATTTCCTTCATACCCAAACATGGAAATTCCCAAACATGGTTCTGAACCAGTAGTTTTCAACTTGTGGCCTGTAGACCTTGGGCAGCCCATAGTCTTACTCTAAAGGGTCTTTGAGAAGTAACCAAGAAAAGCAAGTCTGCTGTTAGGAGACAGAAACTTGCTAAATGGAACTTGGTAGCACCAGTGAAAAATTTTTATGGTTTAGCGCTCTGGAAAAGGTTGCACGCTATAATACAATAGTATGAAAATAAAATAATATAACAAAATAGCATTAAATCATAATATATTATAGTTTGTATATGTAATATATATGTAGTTTACTATGTATTATATAATTATATAATAACAACATAGTACAAAATATAATAGCTGTAGACTACTATTATCTCTATGAGGGAGTAAAAATATACACTAGTATGTTTACTTTATAAAGTTTCCTAATAGGGAATGCGTGTTTATATAAAAAGGATGGATCATTTCTTATTGCTTTTTTCTATTCTTTGCTTCCTTGACTTAAAGACAAAACTGCACAAAACATAGAACATATTACTATTCACTCGATGCTGACATCTTAAGCTGAATTATAACCACAGGAAAAAGGCTTAGTATATTGCTTCTTGAAGTACAGGAAATAAAAGGAGTTGACTTGGAAAAATAAGACAACCTGCTAATATTAAGAAAAATTATTTTCTTTTCATCATATTAATAAAGAGTGATCGTTCATTCTAGGACATTGCATCCCAGTAAAAATAAATAACCAAAACTAGAAAAAAAGGCAAGATAACCATATGGACTTGGAAGAAAATTGGGGTTACTAGGATGTACTGTACATTCCTGTGTTCATGAACAGCCCTAACTATTTCTAAAAGAACTTGAATTTGCTGAGGTAGCAAATTTTAAAAATAACTTTAAGGATGCCTGTCTTACTTTTATCATCTGCTCGCTCATTGTGACTAAAATTTAAAAAATTTGGCAAGACAACTATTGAGTCAAAGTAGAAGAAATAAACGTATAAATAAAAGCTACAAGAAAAAAAATTCAGAGCACTAGATCCTCATTTGCTGAAATTCCTCAATTATAACTAAAAGTACCCTTAAACTCTGTTGAGGCAAATTAAGATATAGCAGGTGTTTATTTATCCTTTAATAATTCACAAGACTATTTTTCCCTTGCTTACATTGTTGTACCTCATGAATATCCAATCAACTACATTATAGTATGTAATTGTGTGAGATTAGAATTGAGCCCTCAGTGACAAAAGTCACTAGCAGAAAAATCAACTGGAAGAGTAAACAATTTCAGGCTGTATCAGCAGAAACATCAAAAGAATTCTAAAAATCACTCATAAAGCTGTTTTCCGCTTTTTCAAGTGACAAATGCAGACATCAGAAAATCTGGCTCTTTGCATGGATTTGTTTTCAATTCGCTTCTAATTTTCTTTTCCCTCTTTAACATGCTAGTCCCACTATATAGAAGTAAACAGACCAGCTTATGCAAAGGCTGCAAGACCAACAGAATTCCTCCTGCAGTCAGTGGATTTGGATAATCTGAGTCATTACTTTTCAAAAGATTTAGAGTACTATCTAAAATGGTTGAGATTCTCTTGTTCTCTTGAAAGCAAGTGCTCTCAGGTCTGATTAAATTCTTTGGGATGCAAGAATATTCAGCACATTTTGTAGAGTACTAGATTTGTGGCTGATGCTGACAAATGCACTAATGACAAGTAACAATGACTTTTTAAATGAGGACTGCTCAGAAAAAAATGAATTCTTATACCTTCTGGGGACTCCATGCTGATCCTGCCCTCATTTGAGAAACCAATAACTGTCCAAGAAGGAATTCTGCTAAAATTACTGGATCTCAAAAAATAAGTACGGTAAGAGAATAATTTCTCTTTTCATAAATGACATTATTATTATATTCACTACAATCAGTAACTCTAAAATTTTTACATATTTAACTATTTTTTCCGTAACTTTAAACTGGCATTTATAGTTACACAAAACTGTAATTAAATGTTAGCATGCAAAATTTGTGTGTTAGAGAACCCAAGTAGGTGACTAAATAAAAATGAAATAATGGGATTTATTGATGCTTAAGCATTTAAAATTAAACCTAAACTCGATAAGTGAAACCTCCAAGATTTACAACTTCATTGCAGTGATTTAAAATGAAAAAAATCTAGAGAATTCTGGAGAAATTTCTAGAGAAAAATTAAAACGTTTTATACTTGTTTGAATCTTAAAATGGTTAAGGTTTAATGAAATATTATGTTTTAAGAACCTCCGTCATCTTGTACCTTGCAGTCACTGAAGAGTATGAAAAGTTTCTGATAGTAACAAAAAAGAAAAAAGGGACAAATTACTGTTTTCTGTGGGGAGTTATATTTTCAAATTTTGTATTATCATATTTTAAACCACCATATAATTATTGACAGCTTCCCAATCCCCTATAGAAAAAACTGTGACACATCTGAATTTTAATCAACACAGAAGAGAACATCGGTGAAAGAATATGGGTGAATGGTACATACCAGGAGGCAACAGGGAATGTTCTTGGAATTGCAGCAAAGCATTCTTCAATCTCTCAATATCCTGTAGCAATACAAGGGATTTCAGATGATGTAGAAGCGTCACATCTGAGGAAGCCACGTTGCGAGATTCAAGATACTGTAAAAGCTCTTGGACAGTCGCTGAATTTACAGTTGGATCTGTGCATCCTGATTTATCTATAGAAACAATTGGGAAACTAGATTAAAAATATTCAGTGAGCATGGGGAATTTTCCTAATGACATTTTCTTTTCTAATACAGTATCTCTTTTTTAATATAACTTATAAACAAATACAACATACTAAAGGGGAGTCTGTTCCTCCCATTTTCTGCTAGGTATTAAAACATTGACAAGAGGGCAAAATATCAAATACAAGAAGTATAAAGGACAACTGCATTCATAATGACAGGAACGCAACAAGAAGATAGAGATTAGATAGAGATCTAAGTCTTTAAGATTAGCACAGGAAGAAGGCATGATGAAGAATCTATACTGTAGCCAAAGCACTGTGCCTTTGTTTCCTACATAGTATTTATTATAAAAATGCACGCGCACGTGGAGACATAGAACAACTGTCGGGAACTACCGCAAAGCATTTCCTAGGCATCCAATTACCTCATTACTGTATTTTTATGTATTTGTTTAAAATTGTATATTAGAGCATGCAACACTGTAGAAAAGGACACATCACTGTTTTTACTGTGCTAAAGTACAGATTTATTCTTCCATTCTAGTAACCATGAACAGTCTGTCCCTTTAACCACACTCCCTTTAAAGTTGCATTCTTCTGGTTTTTATTAGTATACCAAATGATAAGAATAGATTATTCCCAGTTCAGCTTTCTGACATAAGTCCAAGAAGTACCTAAGTACAAAACCCAGGGTGACTGTTTGCAAATTATGCTAAAGCAATGGCTTCCAATTTTATCTAAAAAATGGGGAGTGCTAAATTCACTCAGCTAGACAAGGTAAACAGCATAATGTCAGATTTATATCTGTAAAGAAGGATTTGCCTAACAAGAAAGTTAAGTCACACTCTGATTTATAGATGTGATATCTCATCTGCAGATTAATTTGCTTTTACCTGAGAATTTATCTCTGTGGATCTCAGGGTCCTCATTAACTTAACCTCTGATCTGCAGGTTTGACATCAGGGCTTGTCAGTCTGTCAACCACTGCTAGAACTTGAACGTGACAGCCAGGGAAGCTGAGTAGCTAAACAATTCTACAGGCAACACAGCTATGGACAATAGACCAGGTTTCTGTTCTGGCTCATGTATTAATGGCAGCACTGTTAACTGAGTTTACAATTTTACTCAGTTACTCTGGAATTACACTAACACAAATGCAAGCCATTTAGTTTACACTTACTTCGACATACACTGAAATAGTAACGTTATTAATTTTGGTGACAAAAATATGTTAGCCATTAAAGGAAGATGACTTCTGCAAGACCTGACACAGCAGAAAGCTTATAACAGTAATCAAAGAACATGTTATCTATAAATCTTCAAAAAAATTAACACAAAATGTTACCTTAGTAGGGTTCTTAAAGTAATATGGTAGTCTAAAGATAAATTTTACGGGACAGAGGCTGACAATTCTGACTTAAGATAACAGGTCGGTAAGCTGTTTAATATTCTTCATTCAGCTCCATAAAGACAGTCAAGGCCATGTCTTTCGAAAGGTTTGCACTGCTTTTTTTCAGTTTTATGTTATGTTATGTTCTGAGCTGAGCAACTAAAGAAAACACTAGCTTTCCCTTAAGAAAACGTACCTAATTCTAGATGATACCAACATAATCTTGCATATGTACAGATAATTTCTATACTTATCATTAAAACGTTGTTATGTCTGAAAGGCATTTATGACGTAAGTATCCTAAGTACAGCTTTTTAGGAGGACAATGGAAGAAACATCTTTAACTACAACTAGCAATTTCCCTGATCTGAGTGGCCAGAATAAACATTTCAAAGGCCATTAGGAATAACAGCCATGTAATCCTTTTTTAAGTGCCATGGAATGCACAATGAACAACAGTTCACATTCATCTTGTCCACAAGCTCTTTATACCAATATGCTTTCCCAATGTCAACAGTATCTTCGCCTTTCCTCTTGGATGCCATCTATCTGGATTTTCTTATATATCACAAATAAATCCCCTCCGAGGATGGAGAATTTTTTGAAAGGTAGGTTGGTTCAGAGAAAGAAAGCATGGAAGTACTTTAGAACAGCAATTACTGCCCTTTTGAAGTTTTTTTGAAAGCAAATAATCCTCCTGGATGCTTGCTTGTGGAGGAAAGACGACTTTGGTCCGTTTTAACCACTACATTTACCCAAAATGCACTGGAAAGTTTTAAAAGTGAGAAATCAGTGTTATGTATATTTTCAAGGAAGAAGAAACAAAGAGATTAGGATTGCATTTTTTATGCTGATATGGACACTTATGTATTCATGTAGGTACCTAAAAATGGGACAAATGCTAAATATCTGCATCCCTTACCAAGTTCAACAAATACACTTCCCTAACAGATTTGGTCTATCCTACAGAAGTAATAAGAGTATATCTATTTTCTTCTAAGTTGTAACGTTCGTCAAAAGAAAAGAGAAAAAGTGATACGTACCGTCAGTAAAATAAATTTGTTGCGTTGCCTGTAAGAAGTCCAGAATGCTATCTGCCTTTTCACCTATGTCTTTAAAGTTTGCTCCTTCTTCACTGTTGCTTTGGTCAGGCTGATATGTAAAATCCACACCAGTAGTTTTTGTTAGCAAACCAGCTGCTCTCATTTTTTCCTTTTGTCGCTTTTTTTTCATTTTCCTCTTTTTGTTTTTGCTTATTTTGGGGCTGTCTATCTGCTGCAGCTGTAAATTATCTTCCAAAAGAGTCTCTTGAATTCCAGACTCTGTTTCTTCACAACGTAAATTATTAGAGTTTTGCAAACTGTTCTTTTGTTTCTTCCTTCGAACGCGCTTTTTCTTGGTTTGTCCTTGATACTCCTCCTCTGCAGATTCAAAAGAGACACGATAGTTGTAAATAAGATCTGTAATAAGCATTTTGGAACTGCATACAACGAAATATTACTCCCTTCAAATTCTTGAATGTCTGAGTGCCTCTAAATTTATTTCTGTGCTTAAAATGCCTTTCAGTACTACAGTGTCAAACTAAATTTTTTCTGAATGCACTAAGTAGACAAGCTCTCTTCCCTTCCACTTTTGATAAAGACGGTACTTGCCTTTGTGCTAGGTTTACGTCACGTTTACTTTCTTAATACACATAACATTGCAACACAGAGAGTGAGGTCAAAAGAATCCCCAGAGCACAAAACAATACGGGAAGAGCTACCCAGGCTGAGAGGCATGGGATGGGAGAGTTCTCCCAAGAGGCCCACAATACCAGTTGGTAGACTCGACCAAGCACACAAGAAGGTGGCATGCAGTTTGCAATAAAACCCTGATGCATACCTCCACAATAGCACTGTGCCTTAAAACACTAGGCATCTGTTTCTGATTCTTCTCCTTTTCCCTCCCGAAACATCTTTTTCCTTTGGGACATCTTCCTGCTAACTCAGCTTTGGACATCAACTTTACGGGGAAAGCATCCAAAGCATCATCGACCTTGGCTAGTAATCTCTGATCTTTCTAACTGCCTGTCTTGGTTCTGCCATTCTGTTGCTACTTTATAGTTTCCTTAGTAGTTAATTCCTCAAAAGACTCAAATGTCAAGGGAGAGTAGTCCGTCCTTCTCCGAGTCAGCTTTCATGCTTCTTTATTCAGATCTTTTCACTTTACGCAAAGGTAGAATTCTGAAGTCACCCCTGACCCTCCACCGGCTTCCTCTCCCCCACACAGTCACTTCTCAGTGCAAGCCTTCCTGTCACTAGCAAGGGAAGACTGCCAGAATCCATCTTCACTTCAACTGCACTGCTGCTAAAATCCTTATTTACGCCTATGATAATTTCCTAATTAACTAATATTCCCTCTTTTATAGTCTAACAAAATCCTCACGCATTTAAACATCACAGAGCCAGCACTGTTCTTCTAAAGTCTTGCTCTAGAAAGCCATCTATCCTTCCCTCAGCTTTCACCTGCATGTTTCTAAATTCCTCTTAATGAACTAAGTCCGATTCTCTCGTTTACCTGGGTTCAGCCCATTCTCCTGAGGTCAAAGAATCTTTCCTAGCCTAACACTGAAATTATGCAGCAGAGGCACTTGAGGCCCAACTCTTGCTTTCCAGATGATCTGCAAATTCTCCTGAACTACCTCTGACATTTTCAACTTGTTTGGCTTTCTCATCACTCCTTCCCACACTTGTCCTTGCCTCTATTTTTTCATAGTTGCAGGCCCTCTCTTTCATCTCTGATTCTTTTTCTGTCTTGAACTCTTGTCAGCTCTGAGACACTTTCTCTCTTTAAATATCACTAGAAGATTTTTAGTTCTTTAGCTGACAGATGACTCACTGCAAAGCAATTTTCCATACTTTCTATGAAGGAGGCTGTATAAAAAATAAATGTGCTGTACTGTAAATGAACACCACAGCACATTAAAGATGCACCAAACACCACCTTGTACCCACATTGTGGAACGCTTCACACACATAGCATTTGAGCTAAACATCTTTATATACGTTTTAGACATACGGGATGTAGGAAAAATAACATCTGTGTAGTCCTGCAGGAGTAAAATATCAGAGCTGAAGGCAGATATGAATGATGAAAGATAACATAAACAAAGCATTAGTATTTCCTCTTAAGATCTAACTTGGATTTTCATAGCAGTATATGTGTTATAATAGGTGAATTCCACTTTAAACATAGATACACTGTTCCTTAAAATTCCTCACTCCTCCGAGGATGTTTAGATGAACTGTGTGATAATAAAGCTACCCTAACTTGCGCTGTCAGCAAAGGGGTCCAACACACTTTTAAAGTAACCACAAATCACTAAATCTCAGCGAAGCTACGGCATCCTGTGTAGCCAAGTACCTTCAATAGGTTTGAGGCAACTTCAAAAAATGGTGTAGAAGGGAGAACAGGTCTTAAGATAATTAAGCTTTGAGTCAGGTCCAAAAGTTTCCTTACTCTTTGTAGCTCAGGACAGTAGAAGGTCTGAAGAGAGTGGGGTGAAGCTGTCAAAAGGTAGAATGAATGTAGACTTTTACGTATTTTATTGAGAGAAATATATGACTGAGAAGAAATCAGAACCGTGCTGAGCTTCCTCCAACATAAGAAATAAATCAAATCCAAGACTTTACCTAGTTATCTTCAAGAGTTAAACTTACAGCCCTCTAGTGGGTTTTGTCACTCTTTCTCCAATATTTTAATATCTCTTTAGTGAGATTGAAATTCTCCCTTTATTATTCAAGGGTTCTCCCTGTTGGTCAGTCAGCAAATTTCAGCCTCAAACACTGTGCCATGTGTGGGAGTAATTTGACATGCAGGAACAGATGAAGTTAAATGTTCATAAATGCAAAGCAATGCACACATACGGGATTAATCTGCACAACTCATTGCTAGGGTCAGAACAAACTCTTATCAATTCAGGAAAAGCAAATAAAAACCAGACCTGGGCATCAGTACAGAAAGTTCAATGAAAACGTTTACCCATTGGGCATCAGTGATCAAAACAGCAAGTAGCTTGTTCAGCTAGATAAGAAACAGGATGGAATATAATAGGAACAATATTACAAAGCCACTCCATATATCCGTGGCACTCTTCATGCTTGCAACATCCTATTTCTTAGCACAATCCCAGCACTAGACTTTGGCAGACAAGAACAGGATTCTCAAAGAAGTTATCATAAAAAGAAACTCCAACAAGATTAGGATTGTTTGACTTGAAACAAAGGTTAATAATGTGGGCTCTTTTTCTGTCTCCTCAGGCAAGAATAAGGAGATATCTAACTAATTTGAGCAGTTGCACAAACAAACAATAAAAAAGTAAACATTTGTTTTCCAACCGTCTCAGTTAACTTATTGAATTCACATGCATGAGATAATCACTGAATCCAAGAGCTTAGTGGGATTCAAGAACTGTATGCGTACAAAGACAGCAAGGCTACCTTTCTGTAACAGCTACGCTAAAATACAAACAAGAGTTGTAGAAGAATTGTAAGCCATAATCTTCAAGCCACAGTCCACACAGTGATCTTACAAATGAAGTATTTAGTGGGATTCACCTCATGTAACTAGCTAGCTGAAACACTAAGTCCCTAGTGTATTCTTAGACCTATGCTCCCTCTACTAAACCAATAGAGACTAACATCTTCATAAAGCGATTCACCTCATCCTAAATCAGCTGGGAAGAAACTGCACCCTGAACGTGTCCATTTTTCTCTCTTCCCTCCATCCACTATAGAAGAGACGTAGATGATTAATTTAAACTAAATCCTTTCAACAACTGGAAATAATTAGTCTCTTCTACAAAAATCAACCTAATGATATTGAAGAAGCTCTTAGTACGAGCACATGAAATCCACCAATGTCTATGCAAAAATACTTTTGACTGGTTCACTACATTTCACAGCAGCAGGGAGGCTTGATAAAACTTCACTTGGACCACACTAATGACAGCTACAACTGCAGCAACAGCCTGTCCTCATTCCACAAGAGCTAATGATTCTTCTTCTCCCTCTGTTCCATAATGGCCTGTCACCACTCTTTCTCTGAACACTCATCTCTGCTCCATGAGTAGTCTAATTTATTACATAATTAGATTATCTAAAACAATTGTATGAAATCTGTTTAGTCTGGATTTGGTGCCCTCTGTCAGATCTGACAAACGGTTTCAAGAGAGAAAGCCCATATACATTTTCCAGCCATGGTCATAGTTCCATAAGCATTTCTTTCAGCCTTAATAAGGACATCCTCCTCAGGAAATGTTCAGAGTTACAAATAATTATTTACTTTTTTTTTTTTTTGGGCAGGGTTATTTTTAACCTAGATTACTTCCTGGTCCAGTTTACCATGCAGCTGCACAGTCATACTAGTCTGACTGAGAGGATGACGGGGAAGTGGGAATGAACAGCCTGAAAAAGGAGGTTGCCACCAAAAGAAAAAGTCATCTACTAACAACTTATCTGGTCTGGTATGAAACATCAAAAAGTTTCTCCATGCAAACTGCACATCCCCTAAACAGAGCAGAGGCACAACTATGCCAAAAAAGGACTTAGAATGAAATGGAAGATTCAGTTTATAAATATAGCTTATTGAATTTTATTACAAAAAAATGAGTATGCCTAGTTTATATCTTAAAGGAAAAATAATAAAATTAACTATTTACATAGAGATCCTGTTGACTTATATAATAATAATTAATAAAATCAATATCTTAGTAATATTATTCTATATTCATCATCAGGGCAGCTGGAAACATGAAGAGACCAAATACTAAGCTCCAGATAAGCTACGAGCAACAAGCTTTATAACGACTTCCTTTGATTTTATCTCCCACCCAGACTAACCATCAACACAAACACATTGCTGGCAACTGCTTGATTGATAAGATGAGCTGTGCACTGCTTCTTCAAGTTCAGCTGTATTCTTTCAGTTCCTTCAGGCAAAGGAAGATGGAAAACATTCAGGGAAGGCATCACATAAGACAAAAAAATGGGGCACTATTTACTTAGGTCTGTGAGCCTAGTAAGTAATCTTCACTTGACACTTCACGTAGGCAGTGTGTAAGGGTATACAAAGTTCCACAGCACGCAAAACCAAAGTACTTAGCTTTCAGCAACTGAAATACCTGAAAAATTACCTGAAAATAAGCTGGTGAAGCTAGCGATGCTGGGATTTTTGAAATTCAGGCCCCTGAACGTTATTAGAACAAACCTCCCAAACAGCACAGCAAAAAAAAGGTAGAGATTAAGCCGGACTGAGGAAAAGATATTCAAAGAACATCCTCTGAGCTTTAGAAGTCTCCTCCATAATATGCTCACCATGACTCAAGTACGGCAGCTGGCTCTCCTGTACTCGTTCAAAGACCAACTCCCACAGTAGGTTTTTG